TTAAGACGTGCCGAAGTTAGCGAAGAGGCAATTTTGCTTACTGCACAAGCTGCAGAACTGAAATCCTGCAGAGATATTCTATATTCATGTTTGGTCTAAATACAGCACGAAGGCTAAATTCACTGCACGAGGACACGAGAAATTTTTATCACAACTTCAGAAGCAAGTGTGTTTGCGGATTTCTCAATCTTTTTGTTCCAACATTATGTGCACTGTCAAATTTTGCATTATTCGATGGACGACCTCTCACCGGAAAACGACTGGCCTTCGTGCAAAATTGATAATCATGCATGCTGAATGTTTACACAGCCCCATCATGCAACACTACCATTTTGAACAACACCCTCTTCCCCATGCATGCAAGAAAAGACCAAAACGCAACTATCATGCCGAAACAATTCATGCTGTTAACAATCTGACTGGTGCACGTTTAGAGCAAAAACGCGTGATCACGCCGGCAAGCCTAATTTGTTGCAGCCTGGGTTATTTATTATACTGACTGTGTTAATGAATATGGTATTTGCAAATGTTAGAATACCCAAATTTCTAGACCAGTCAACCCCCGAAAATGATGAATGTAATTCCTGTGTACTTCCATTATCCTTTACTCCTCGCCACGCTAATGGCGGTATGGGCTCATGATCGCAAACCACCCTTACTAATGGTGTAAGCAGAACAGAATCACTTGACGCATATTAGACGGGCCACATACGTGACACAGCTCGGGTGCATCCTGTGGATCCCCGACACACGATCGATCCAGCTATACAAATATGTCCTTTTTCGAATGTTCCTCTTTTTCGGCCCTCTGTTTCAACACGTTCCTTCTCTTTTTCCTCGGTTTCTCCTCGATCCTCCTCTTCCACTTTCCTATCTTTCTCCTCCTTCCTCTTCCTTCCCTCCCTTTCTCTCTCATTCTGTGTACCTTCCTGTTCCTCTCTTCCTGGAATGAATTGAATGGAATGAATAGGGAAAGGAGCGCACCGCAACATCAGCAGCAATCGCCCAGGGCAGTTGTGGCAGTAGCGGCAGTAATAGCAGTAGCAGCAGCAGCAGTGCGCCACATTCCCGATCTCGACTGCTTTCATCCCGCTATGAGCACTGTGGATTCTCATTCGCTTGTCCGTCATTGCTGTGGGAAGCATCGACCAAGGTTTCCTGGATGAAGGGTCGACTGAAAGGGATTACTGTCGGAGCTGCGCCAGTCGCTGTGGTGTTTTTCGGTGTACGGTCTTTTTATGATCCTGTTGACCATTGCGCGCATTGCTGTCAGTCGCTTCACCTCAGTGATTTAGGAACGACAGAGGTAGGAAGGGCGGGGACAGTAGGGGGAGGGGGGAGAGGGACGAGTCAACCTGAACAAACACTAAAAATGAGCAAAATTATGCTAAATTACGCTGGGAGGCAATAAACTAAGTATAACCACGAAACTGAGGTGCTAGTAAAGTAAAAAGTGGTATATCATTCATTTCGTCCGAGGAACCAGCACGTATCAGTGAACCGAAGGGACTTGTCAGAAGTCTTGTCCTGAGCAAATGATGATAAAAGACTTTATTCTGGACTGTGAATAAGTAACAGAGCTGAGCGCAGGAATCACTGGAATGGGCGCGGAGATGGGTCAACCGGGATAATAAAGATGCGTAGCTGGCTGTGGGAGATGTAAAAGGACTGAAGAGCGTACGGATCTCGAAGCGGCAGATCGCATGCCTTAAATACTGAGGATCCTATAAGAGATAACATACGTCGCAATCTCCAAAGCCGGCTTCAACCCACCTTCTAAAATAGCTGCTATGGAAAACAGGAATAGGTTTTACCACCATAGATTCTGTCTACGATGGGAAAGGCGGGAGGGAGAAGTAAGGAGTGGGGAAGTCGAATCCCTGTCGGAGGTCCGATCTCGCGGTGGAAACGCTCCAGCATCGTGTTCCAGTGTTTAAACTGGAATGTCGTCAAAGGATGGCTTGCCAGCTTTTGGCATTTTTTGGTTTTTAACTGAGGTGAGTAAAGGCTGCGCCTTTACAACTCCCATTTTGAGAGTAAGGTTCTTGTGCAGTACCCAGTTAGTTCCAAGATAGAAGCACATTATGGTAATTGATACTTCACTTCAGAAGACCTTCAAATTACGCATCAACTTTTCCACAACACGCTCTTGCACACGATTTGCTTTTTGCCGCATAATGTCGCGTGAATCAGACCCCTCTTCAGAATAAGGCTTATTGATTCAGAAGTCTTATGTCTGAATTAGTCAGGGTGGTGCGTTGGCTTACACTAATTCATTTTAAAATCTACGCTCGTTTGCGTCTAGGTTTTGTGTATGGGCGTTGAGAAAAAAAATGTAAATTTTTGGGCAGGAAACGAATTCGGGAATCGGTTAGTGTAGGAAGCCGAGTCATTGCAAGGATATTCTCTGTTATTGTAATGCTTAAAGATTTCAAATTCAGCTGTCGCACGCACTGGCGTCATGCGTACAGTCACGTCAGGGTTCTGAGGTGGCACCGTACCGACTTGAGGCTGGGCGGAAAACAGTAGCTGTAATTTTGCCAGAACACTTATCATCATCTGGGAACTCATATACCTAAGTGGAGTTTTAAACTGCACCTGCAGTTGCTACTCACCTGATAAACTGCGAAGTTGAAATTTTGAAACGGTATTCTATATCCAAGTGCGGGTTTAAATTCCTGTGCACGGACATGGCAAATGCTCAGTTTTGTCTCAGCTCAAAAACATTTGCTTGATTTCATCTTTTTTCGACATTTTGTTCATTGTTCCAATTTGCATTTTCAATAAACAAATAACAGCAGCAAATTTTTCATTTACCTTTATGCAAGATTTTTGGTAATCTTGTAATGCAACACCAGATCACATGCGGCTCTGTGAAAATTTTGGCGGGAAAATTCCCAACTCGGGAACCAGAAAGGCTGGAAAGCTGAGATTTTGGGAGAATATTCCCCGTCTAAGTACAGTTTAAAGGTTTCAAATCCAGTCCGTAGGTGCGCGTGGTTCTCGTGTACGAGCAGCTAAATTTCTGGCGGGGAAATTTCTGATTGAACAGCTGGGTCATTTTCAAAAAGCGGCCGCTAAGTGTAAATTGTTTACTTCTGTTTATGCAAAATTTACGATGATTTGCAGTATTGAGCGCATATGGCAGATGTGAAGAAGCAACCATTCATGCAGTTAACCTAATTACTTCAAGTTTGATGCAAAAACGCACCGACTGGCCTGCTGCGTTTCAGCCTGGGTTCCTTCTGTATGCATGAAATGCAAAACACTGCCAACATAAGTACTCATATTAAACTGCAAATCAATAAACATTCATACTGTAAACTGTCTGATTGCTTCAGGTTTGGTGCAAAGATGCATGATCGTACCGAAACCCCGGTATGCATTGCTATCTGGGTTTTTGTACGTTTCCGCATATTATGCAAATGCAAAAACACATATTGCCAAGAAACTGCCTGTGTATGTGTGTGTCTCCGAGATTCAAATTTAACGCAAGCACAAATCTCATACACGACGTGCCAAAGTTGTGATTTCGCAGTATTTGGCGAAATACCAAATCAGAAACCAAGTTAGTTAGAATGTTCTAACTTTACGAAAATATTTGTTTTCCATAAATGAGCAATTAGACATAAAGTGGGCTTTGGCATGCGTCTATATCGCGAGTTCTGATACGTCGTAGATTTCCCATAACAAAAGCGGTTTCACCAACCAGACGATGCTAAGAATTAGGCTCATGATCCTCTTGAACTTTACGAAGATACTCCTTGCTTATATGCGACTGCAGTGTTTCAGTTTAAGCGCTATAGCACTCCTAGGTCTGGCTTGTCTCCCTAGTGAATGTTTAGTTCTGGACATTGTAAGCACCCGAATAACCCGGTGGCCAAAATGAGCAAAAAGCAGTCTTTTTTTGAGCATGTTTGCTGTGCGGGCCATCAAGCGTGAGATGAACTTCTGCCTAGGCACGGGCCCCTACGTACAGGCGCATCAGTTACACCCTAGCGGTACAGGCGATCTCTTTCTACAGAATGTAATCATGCAAAAACGCATGAACGCAGCGGCAAGCCCGGTGCGTCACAGCCTGGGTCATAATGTAACTGTCCGTGAACAGCTGATTATTTGCAAATTTTGCTTCTTTCAAATCCGTCGTAGCCTTCCTACCAGAATCCTTCAGTGCTTCCTTGCGAGTACATCGTGAGTACTCACTATGAAAAGCTTCAGCGCAGTCATTTCTGTAGACTTCGGCGACCAAAACGGTAAAGCTGTTTGTAAAACTAGTTGTTTGTAATTTTACTGTCTTCCTGGTTTTTTTGCAAACATCATTGTTCATATATTTTTTCTTGCAATGATGTTTTTGTATGTCGCTCAATTTGTGGTTACGGAAAGATATTCCAAGCAGTTTTCGCCACTCTCTCCATTACAGTCAGCGCTTGCTCTTTTGCTTTCGTCAGCAACAGCGTTTCGCATGCTTATGTCATTGCCTCTGGCACAGTAGCATTGAACAGATAGGCGCGGTCGTTCCGGTTCTACAGTTGAGGATTCGACGAGGATAGTGTTCACAGATTAGGCAGTATCGATGCACATCATGGTGGCTCCAGGCTTGTTGAGAACATACTGTGCCGCACTTTGTTCTGAGAGTTTGAGTGGTGTGAAACCCTGTGCGCGCTTCCTGCTTCGCACTTCTAATTAACTATGTACTGGCGCACACTATGCAGCACGCCAGCAAGACCTAGTCAGGGAAACTCGTACTGCCACCATTAGTAATGCACTGCAACGGCCCAACTCTGTTTTAACATTCTCCGATGTTAAACGTTCTCCAAAGAGCAATTCTTTTGCCTCCCCCTTTCCTCTCCTCCCACAAAAAGGCAGCACCATTCTATAGTTTTCTTTGTAAATCTTGAAAATGAATATCAAGATAATGTATCGGAGCGTTTTGCTTCGTTGAATCCTATTCGTTGCTATCCCTTCAACTAAGCCTAAGCAGTGGATTTTGGCAGACAGCAATGTTTCGATGCGCAGTTTGTTCGCTCCATTCCGGTGCATTTGGGACTGCTGAAGAACTGGAAATACACATTGCTTCCGATCACATCATCCACATACCATATGAATGTGAACGATGTCGGTTTTCGAAATTTCCAACCGAATTTGCCCTAATCAGTCACTGTACGACTGATCATGGATTAAAAGAATTCTATGTTAGTGCTTTTCTGTGAACGTTTTTAGAGCAATTCTTATGTATAGGCTATTACGATTACCACAGCTGTTCAACCAGCTTGCTGTTTTCGCCCAAACACAAGGAGCTTCCAGAGCATAAGCACGATCACATCTCCACACTACCAAAATTCTTTTGCCACTTGCATGTCAAGGTGTGACATTGAAACCAACGTTTTTATGCGTTTTTTGCAACTATGCAATGTGAAAAACGCATATTGACGAGAGTTTGTCTGTGTGTGTGTGCGTGTGTGTGTGTGTGTGCGCGCAGGGCCTCTGTACCGATTTTTCATCTGCTGAAACTTTGGGAACTTAATCTACATGCACGTACAGGCCCCACTTCCCGAAATGGGGGCTATTACTCGCTCACTACCCGCGTACGGGCCCGCCAAAGTTTTTTACGAGTAGGCTGCTAACTCGCGAACCAGAAAAGCTAGAAAACTGAAATTTTGAGACAATGTTCCCCGTCCAAGTAGGTACTAATGAGCTGAAACCCAATCCCCGGGTAAGCGTGGTACCCGCGTATGAGCCCGCCAAAATTTTTTTACGGGTATGTTGCTAACTCGCGAACCAGAAAAATAGAAAGCTGTAATTTTAAGGGAATGTCCCCCGTCCAAGTAGGTACCAGCGAGCTCAGACCCAGCCCCCGGGTAAGCGTGGTACCCGCGTACGGGCCCACCAAAATTTTTCCCAGGTAAGTTCATAACTCGGAGATCTGAGATGCTAGAAGAGTGTAACATTAAGAGGATGTTCCCCGTCCACATCAGTCTCAACAAGCTCAAACCCAGCCCTCGGTCATGCGTGGTAGCTACGCACGGGTTCACCAAAGTTTTTCTCGGGTAAGTTCATAACTCGAGAATCTGAAAAGCTAACTCGACTGTAGTTTTAGGAAGACATTCCTCGTCCAAGTAAGTCTCAACGAGCTCAAACCCAGGCATCGGGTGTGCGCGGTACTCGCGTGTGGGCTCGTGAAAAATTTTTTCCAGTAAATTGCTAACTCAGAAGCCAGAAAAGCTAGAAAGCTGAAATTTTAAGGGGGTGTTTCCTGCCAGTTTTGGCGGTCAGTCTTAATTTGTTTAGCTAGAAGGATTTGCCGGAAAAAAACCGATACCGGTAGCGACAAAAACTGCGGGGGACTATGCGAAAAACGCATCTCCGCACGGACAGCCCCCGTACGTTGGCCAGTTACTGGAATATGTCTTACAAAAATTTATTGAATGCTGGATCTTTTTAAAATCTGCTAACTATTCAGGTTAAATACAAGGTCACCCCGGACTTTCAACGGAAGCGCGAGAAAATTCGAGAACTCTTGCAGCATTCCATTACATTGTCGAAGATTCCAGTCGGAAATCATAAACGACGGAGGTTAACTTGTATGCGGTTTTGCTTAAGATGGAAGCGAATTATTGTACCTCTTTGGCCATGTCTTTTTCATATGCATATATATGCATATATATATATATGTATATATATATATAT